ACTTGCTGAATCTCCAGGGGTTTTACTGAGATCATGCTGCCATGCTGGACCCCACAGAAACTAAGACATACACATCTCCAACCTAGCTCCTAACTGTAGGATTACAAATTTTACGTAAGAAAAACATAACAACAAACATGACAACACAAAAAGCTTAACAAAAATAATCTTGTTCACTGACACTTCCTAACCACCAACTATCTTCAGCCCTTTTCTACCACTTCAGTTCCCTAGGGACATTCAGGAGATCCAAGTGTCACTGTGACCTTCACCTCTGAGAAATGTCTGCTTCAGCAGCCGCTGGTGACACTGTTCTAAGCATTTTATGTATTTACGTATGACATCTGTATGTATGTAAGTGTATGTATCTGTACACGTTAAATGAGATTATATATGATAGACTCTCCATTTATGATACAGTAATATAATCATCTATAATACATGTATTACTTATGCAAGTATATGTACAGATTACTTATATAATCTAATTAATTCATACAGGTCTGTAAGGTGAAGGAAATGCTAGGTTTTCACCAGATTTATGTTTTAATAGATAAAGAAGGCAAAATCAGTCTGTAATATTTCCAATTCTTCGAGGACAGTGTGGGGAAATGCTAGAGAGAAGTTTTTATCTAGACTGCTTAAATATAGCATTCTAAACCCCTCTCCTAATTTAGACCGAAGCCAACCTGCCCACCCACAGTCATGAAGAACCACACAAATACAAGAAAGCTTAGTATTAATATACTGTATTTCTTATTTAGTCGATCCTTTGAGAAGCAAGAGTAGGGAGACACCTTACTCTCATTCAGCACTGCTGCTCCTCTCTCCTTACCCAAGGTCTGCAAGGCTCCCTGATGGTCCTTACCAGTCTTACTAGAATATCACTGTCTTGTTTTAGACCTTTTAAGAAATGATGATCAGTCTACCTGCAACTAGTCAAAGCTCTGACTTTTAGGTAGAGAACCCTCATTAGCTATACCTGTATAACAACCTATGTGTCTTAGTCTCACCCATACTTTCTTCTTTTATCTTTCAGTTCCAAAACTAGTACATGTGTTTGATAATATTTATGTCTATAATTTAGATATTAAGCTCCAAAAGAAATAAAAATAATTGAGTTGTGAAAATCTTAAATTAGAGAAAAATCAGAAGACATCTCTTTCTGGCTTAGAGCCTAATGTTCTGGGTAAGTCATCAGACTGTGCGGATCATTTCCATGGGGTGAGGAGCCTGACTGCCTACTCCACAGCACTGTATCAAAAGAAATAAAATAAAAGATTCAATCTGTCAATTTATGAAAGAGAAATTCTAAGTTAATAAGATGTCTAAACACAGTGATCACATTAACCAGTAATCTAAGCTAGCATTTGATAGCCAAAAATATCACACTGGATTCTTAGTGACACACTTAGAGTAGACAGATTTCCTGTCACATTCAGCAGTAGCCGTGTGTGTCGCAAAACTGCCAAAACCCACTTTACAAGAATCATATGCATGTGGGAGAGCCCACTCATGTTCTCAATCCACAAAGAGAGTCTGTGGATACCATGTGTCTCCCCCTACCTTAAATAAAAATATGTATTACCCACCTCATAACAGCTACAGCTAGTCATGAGGATTTGCTCGTGAACTAGGAAGGTGTGTTTATGTCTCCTTCCATTATGCAGTGGAAATATGCAGGGAACATCACACAGCATCCTGTTGTCCCCTCAGTGCAAACATGCGAGCTGAAGACAGCCATGCCAAGTCCTCCAGAAAAGGAACAGAAGTGCTCACAACTGTTCTAACCCCTTTACGACTCCCCCACTGGACTGTCACTGCTGCCTAATCTGAGAATTCACTTTCTCCTTCACGTCATGCTCTCAGACTTTAAAAGACTGTCGCCAGTGTTTCTAAAATCCGGACCTGTGCCAGGAATTTTCTGCTTTAATATCCATCACTCACTGCTTCCAATCACAGCATCAGATCTAAAGTTCATCCCAACTCCTTAATGGCTTTAAGTGCTAACAAATCAATTAGTTTCTGTCGGACCAATTTTATAGGCAAGAGAATAAGCAGGAACCTGGCTGTGAATTCCGTGATGAATGATGCAACAGCAAAGCTGGAGAAACAGCCTTAGAAGCCCTGAATCCCCATCCCTATCACACGCCAACAAAGAACCCTAGATCATCCTCTGTCAAATTATTTATAGGTGTCAAGAAATATTTCTAATTATATCCATTCACAGCCACAGTCAGTGAATATTGTGCAAAGAGATTGCCAAAAAAGGTTTTGCCAAGTAGGTTCCCAGCTGGGACAGCTGAGGTGGCTGCTGTGTTTGCAAAATGGTCTCTATAAAAGTGGAGCTGAGCTGCCTCAGTCCCGTCCTTCCTCAAAATTCTTTAAGGTATGTATACGTGGAAGAACACATGGCTAGTCTTACATTCCTGATGAAAAACGGTTATTCACTTAAGGGAAATGGCTACTGTTTCCCAAATTTTAATTTTTTCTTGCCAATATTCCTAAGGATGATATCGTACATAATATAGTTACTAGTATTGGGGGATTAAATGGAAAAAAAATTAAAAGAATCCACATTCTCTTGTTTGTTTTTTCTTCCAACAGTAGTTGTCTGCTTTGAGCCTGCCACCTTCCGCACCTGGGAGCACAGGAGGTAAGAGTAATTTATTATTACACTATAAAGAGCAGAGCCTTCTACACGGCTACGTCTCAGAGAGCTGCACTCTGATATCCTAGTTTCGCGTTGGGAATAGGATAGAAGGAGCAGATCATCTTTTAAAATGGCTTCTCACAAAATTTTGACTTTACAGACCACTTCACCACACAAAACCTAATGACTCTTCTCTTTCACATTATTAGAATTTCAGAAAGAATGCAATGATCGTGTGTAATATTTAATATGAACTATTACTGCAACTTACCCAGTGCGGATATACCAGAGAAATGGAATGATAAAATCAACAATGTGTTGATCTGGAAATCAAAATTTCTAGGTGCCAATCCAGGCTTTTCGCTGACCCTAGCTGCCTGGGTCAAGCCAACTGGCTCTTATGTACGTTGAAATGCAGTGTGTTGCAGGGGAATTGGCACTGAACTTGGACTTAAGAGAATAGGGCTCATGTCCCATACTACTATTTACATTTTTCTAACACTGAATGGCCCTTCACCTTTCTAACCCTCATGTTCCTCATAAGCAAAACAAGGAAGCTGAACTTCACTACTAAGGTTCTTTGAGCTCTTGCAATCTACGGCCTAAGTCAGTGGTTTCCAAGGACTACTCCATAGAATCAAAAAATTTAATGGACCTCCCCCAACTCCATGTGTTGCAACCTGTACTTTTAGTATCATATAAGGAATATACGTGATGATGAACACCTACTATACATTTAATAATTCTTTGCAATGAGTATATATTTAATATGACAGCTATACTCATTAAAAGAGAAAATATAGTTTGGGAATGTTGCTTGTCCCACCTTGAGGCCACTATTACTGTGCAGCTGGATTCAAGGACCCCAAGGATCCCTGGGGATTTGTGGCCCACAAGTTGGGAAATGATAGATCTCAGACCTGAGATGGGAAGGGTGGCACCGTTTCCATATTTTGTGGATAGACTGTATCACAGAAATCTCTATAAGGCAGTATGTTGTTAATTCAAAATTGCCAAGAATAAAAACACAGAAATAAACAAAAATTTCATTTATCCTTCCAAGAAAAAGCCCTGACAGTAAATGTTCCAATATCTAAAGTTCAATACCATCAAGAGACTTTTACAGGTACAAGCTAGATTGATTTCAGAGATACAGTATGTGGCAAACTCGCTAACACTCTAAATAGAGAGGAAGTGTAATGCTGATGATTAAAGAGCAAGACATCTTCTGGAAAACCTGCAAGAGGCCAAGGCTGCTGTTCTTGTTGCTATTGGCAACCAGGACCCATCTTTCCACCTTCTTTAACTCTGGTCACTCATCAGGGAAATAGGATTTATTTTCTCAAAATTAATTTGTCAGTGGAAAAAATTTTAAGTCCATTTTGGCGTGACGCTCTATACTGGCTGTCCATTTTAAAACAGACATTTAAAGGACTGGTATTTTTTTTGAAAAAAGAGGATGGGGTAAGATATATATCTATATCTATATTTATATCTATAAAATAGCTAAAAGAAGAATTAGATAAAAACAACTAGCAGGCTGATATCTAGCTTTAAAAAAAAGAAAATTATAGACCAAAAATATACAATCACTATGAAATTTTATTAAGAATTCAGATGTTAGAAGTTACCTTTTGTTTAGATAATCTACTGACTTTCAGAAATTTTGAGAACTGATAAAAAAGATTTAGTTTTGTTTAGGACAAAATCATCTGTTGCATTTTTGGCTTTCACTGTACTTACTTCTTTTTTAGTACTTGTTACTTAACTAGGAGTTTCTTTGTGCTCATCAGGTGTTTTCAACCTGGACTTTTGGTCCTACAAAAAACAGATTCAACTTTTCATACATCCCATTTTAATAATTTTTACACCCAATTAACAATTCCTATTTAAGTAATTTGAGGAGGAGGAAAATTTCCCTAAATATCTGAGTTTTTAAAACAGGTTCATTTAGATTAAAAGACCATTGGAAACAATTATGTTCATTTCTTTTAACATCACAATGTCAAAAAAAAAAGGCGGGGGTTGGAAAAACGAAAGGGAAAAAAAGAAGAAAAGATTATGAACACATTTGGGATGTTGCTGATTGAAACATTAGTTTCTTCACAATTCTCAACTAAGGCTGAAAGTATCAGGGATGGATTGGAGGCTTAGATATCGCACATATTAAGTTACCAACATAAGACCTTCAAATCAACGATCTGCTCTATCAGCACCTGGCAGAGTACACACGCGTGATCCCTAAAGGCAGGGTGAGGAACGGCGTGGCCACTAAAGCAGACTGAAGAGCAAAAGGACAACCCACGCCCTGGCTCACCATCCAGCGCTCTTTCTCCCTCAGGTACTTCGGTGCCCTGCTGCCATCAGTACTCTGCAGCCATGAGTTCAGACCAGGAAATGGCTATCTTTGGGGAGGCTGCTCCTTACCTCCGAAAGTCTGAAAAGGAGCGCATCGAGGCCCAGAATAAGCCTTTTGATGCCAAGACATCAGTCTTTGTGGTGGACCCCAAGGAGTCCTTTGTGAAAGCGACCGTGCAGAGCAAGGAAGGGGGGAAGGTGACAGCCAAGACTGAAGCTGGAGCGGTAAGTAAACCATCTGCAGGTGATAAGACAGGGCTCACCTCCAGGTAAGGGAGCTGACACATAGTTTTTTGACATGGCCTCTCTTTCTTGACTTGACAGACAGTAACTGTGAAAGAAGACCAAGTCTTCCCCATGAACCCTCCCAAATATGACAAGATCGAGGACATGGCCATGATGACCCACCTGCATGAGCCTGCAGTGCTGTACAACCTCAAAGAGCGTTACGCAGCCTGGATGATCTACGTGAGTTCCTTCTCATGGACTTCTGCTCATACACATGGCTCATATTTTGAAAAACAGCACATTCCTAAGGTCCCTATGAAATAATTAATTCCTTTTTATTTATTTATTTTTTTTTTGTGCAGACCTACTCAGGCCTGTTCTGCGTCACTGTCAACCCCTACAAGTGGCTGCCAGTGTACAACGCAGAGGTGGTGGCTGCCTACCGAGGCAAAAAGCGCCAGGAGGCCCCGCCCCACATCTTCTCCATCTCTGACAATGCCTATCAGTTCATGCTGACTGGTGAGTGGCTCAAATGTTTTCCATATGTATTATTTTATGATCACAAAATGGTAAAGTGAAAAAGACCTTTAGAAATAACTGAATCCAACCTCCTAGTTGCACAGAAGAGGTGACAAAAGCACAGAGAGGTTCACACTGCCAAGTGGGGACTAAAACTTAGTTCTCCTGATTCCACCCCCATGACTCCACCAGACCACGTACTGCTCCATCCTACTAAGTTTGACTCGTTGATAGTCTCCTTGCTTGGAAATTCATGATTTTATATATTTAATTAACAAAAACAAGCTGAAGTGTATTGTCTAATAGAAATGAAAAATACATGTTCAACATTTTAGTACCTAAGTTTCCTGTTGATTTCAAATTAGATATTTTAAGAAGTATTGTTATACCTTTAAAGTCACCAGCAATCATTTCAGAGGTAAGATTCTCTCTCTGATAAAAATGGTATTTTGGGGCTACATGCATACATACAGAAGTAGTTACTGTTCCCGCTTAAAAGGACATTATTCTCACTGAGGTACCATCTCTCATCTAATCTTTCTTTAACCCAATTACACTTTTTCAGAAGGCTGATCAGAGTTAGGGTTGCAGTGGATGCCCTTGAGACAGAGGTGTGTGTGCGCGCACGTGTGTGTGTGTGTGTCTGAAGGCTCCATTAAGAAACTAAAGCTCAATCTTGACTTGATTAACATGATTTTAACCTATGAAATATAGTCCCATCCCTTAGCATATTATGCATTTATCAGCAGATAGCAGGACACTGAAATCTACACATGTCAAGTAGGGAATGTGTCTGGCTCTGGAAAAAACTACCCTTTAATTAAACAAGGACACACTTCCTATGGTGGCTTAAGGAATTTAAGATATGACAATATTTTATGTTTCTTTCCCCCCAACAAGAGACTTTAGAAAAACACCATATGCAACTTTAATACACTGAAAACCTCCATTGAAAATGACACTATAATCAATGCCCTGAACTTTCTATATAGAAAGTTTGTTTGTGTAATTGGTATATATGCTGACATCTAACCTTTTTCTTCTAGATCGGGAGAATCAGTCTATCTTAATCACGTATGTATTATTATTATGAGACTTATTCCTATTTTACTCACACTGGGAAAATGACAAACCAGAACAAGAAATTAATTCATGCCCCCATACTAAACCAACAGCATGATCAGCCTGCAATTAGATATTATAAAGTATAGGTTACATCTGAATGTAAAAGGACAATGTCCCAATTTAAGTCATTTGCTAGTCCAGTATTGAAAGTTCCAGAATGTTCCGGCAAGTTGGAGATGTAAAACACCACATCCTCATAACGCCAGAACCCGTTACCGGGAAGCGAGCACACACAGCTTCTGAAGGTTAGCAGTCTGAAAACGTTGCCAGTGTTTCATTTGCAAGGTCTACTGGGGAATGCTTATTCCTTCAAAGACCTCACTTGGGAATGTCTTTAGCCTAAGGAAGCTGACAGACACATCATTATTTCAGAGAGTTTTGCACTCATTCTTTCATTTGTTACATAGTGATTGAGTGGGTACTTCTTGGACACTCAAGTCCCGGGCTAAGCCCCTAGAAGAGAGTCTCGCATATTTTAAGC